TTTATTTTGACCAGAGAGAGAGAGAGAGAGAGAGAAAGTGAGAAAGCAAGCTGCCAAGTCTGGGACTTGAACTGCAGCTGGCCATGCAGGAGACCAACACCTTCAACCACTGTGCCACCTGCTGGCCCCATAAATAATTCTTAAAAAACAAAAAACACACACAACACTCATAGGGGTGTGCTGGGGTGGGCGGGGGGCATGGAAGGGTGGCGAGGAAGGGAGAAGAAAATCATTTCACGCACATCCAGGATCTCACCAAGTCGCTACGCCCCTGCCTCACTCTCCCCAGTAGGCGGGTCTAGACCTGCACACCACCACACTCGGCCGGAAATCAAACCCAGCCGCGGGCTGCTGAGTTATGACTGTCACCCAGCAGGTGCCACCACAGCTGGGTCATGCACCGTGAGATTCTGAAGCCAGCGTGTCCCTTCCACCGCGGGCCGGGGACGGGGCTGCCTGCAGGGAGAGGGGGCGTCTGGCCCGTCCTCCTGGGTAAGGACCCGGATGATATGGATCGAAGCGAGGGCCTGATGCCTGTAGGCACCATCTCGGGGAGTTGGGTCCCCCTTTCTTCCTGAAAGCCGCTGAATGAATCCCTAAGGTGTTCAGGCAGGGGATGGGGACGAAGACAAGAGCCAGAGACTCCCTGAGCAGCTCAGGATGAGGGGTAGTGGGTGTGGAAGGGGGTAGGCATATACTCCCCTCCTCTACCCCACCCGGGGCTTCTGACTGCCCCTCATTACGCCTGGAGGGCCGTATGTTGTACAGTTTTAGATGAGTTCATTTTAAAAACGCACAGACTGGGTGTGGCGGTTAGGGTGTTGGACTCTTACCTGGCTGACCACGGTTCGAGTCCTGGACCTGGTGGCTTGCTTTCTCACTTACCCTCTCCCATTCTGGCTCTCTCTGGTCAAATTGAAAAAAACAAAATTAATAATCATAGCAAATAAAAATGAAACAAACAAACAAAAAGGGCAAAACATACACACACACACACACACACACACACAGGCATGGACCAGGAGGTGCCATATGGTGGTTAAGGCATTGGCTCTTATATGGCCAACACTGGGTTTTGAGTCCCAGGCCCAGCGGCCTGAAAAACAAGCCAGGTGCACGTGTGTGCGAGCCCAAAATCCTGACAGGAGAATAGAGGAGAAGGGGTTACGGTGTCATTCCCTGGGGAAGTGCTCTCTCTCTTTCTCTCTCTCTCTGTCTCTCTCTCTCTTTGGGGAGAACAGCACTTGCACCCTATGGCAAAAATTCTAAAACACACAGGGCTGGCAGGTGGCACAGTAGTTAAGGTGCTGGACTCCCACATGGACGACCACAGTTCAAGTCCCAGACCCCTGGCAGCTTGCTTTTCTCACTTACCCTCTCTCTCCTCTCTCTCTCTCTCTCTCTCTCTGGTCAAAATAAAAATATATAAATAATAGGGGACCAGCAGGTAGCATGGTGGCTAAGGTGCTGGACACTCCCATGTTGTCGACCACGGTTTGAGTCCTGGACCTGGTGGCTTGCTTTCTCACTTTCTCTCTCTCTCTCTCTCTCTGGTCAAATTAAAATAAATGCATGAATAAATGAAATGAAATAAATAATTCTAAAAAAAAATTTATTAAAAAAAGACAAATAAATAACTCTTTAAAAAAAGATGAAAGAAAGAAATCTAAACCACATCAACAAAACAAAACAAAAAAACCCACACACGTACAGGCACAGAGGCAAGAGACTTGGGGTGGGGAGGAGGTTTGCATACCTCGGATTTTGGGGTTGACCTTAATGAGCTCGCATCCCAATGTCCGAAACTGTAGAAGTGGTGGGGAGAGACATGAAGGGCAGCCACACAACCCATGCCACAAAGGAGACCCTCCCCAATCCCACCCACAGCTCAGGACTCCAACGGGGGCAGTGCGAGAGGAAAACGCCCCGCGCTTGGGTTTAGGCACCCTCTGTGCTGGAAGGGAGCCAGGGAGCCAAGCCGGATTTGGGATCGGCTTCCAGAAGGAGGAAGGGACCCCGGAGAAGGGGCTTATCCAGGCCCTCGAGGCTAGCCAGGGGGGAAGCTGCGGTATGAGGCAAACATGCTCTCGCCAAGCCCAGCTCGGAGACAGCACGCGTGCAGGCCAGGGTGCCCGGGGCGTACCCCAGGCGCTACCTCCTGGTCCCAGCGCGGGGTAGCAAGACGGGGGCGCAGGCGATGCCTGCAAAGGACTCTGGGAAGTGCAGGTCCCGCTCCCACTCGTCCGTCTCGGTGTTGTACACCTGCACGATACCCGTCACGTTATTGAGGCGCCAGTTGTAGCCCCCCACGATGTAGATCTTCCTGTCCAGCAGGCAGCAGCCGGCTTCCGACTGGCCGGCCCGCATGGGGCTCACGCTGGTCCACTGGTCCGTCTCCGGGACGTAGAACTCCACCGCCAGCACGTCGAAGCAGCGATCCACGTGGTCCATGCGGCCGCCGAGCGCGTAGATGCGGCCCCCGGCGCCCACCATGGCGTGCAGCACTCGGGGCTCGCTCATGGGCGCCTTGAACTCCCATTGGTCGGCCACGGGGTCGTAGCAGTGCAGGGCCTTTTTGTCCTCCACCGAGATGCCGTAGCCCCCGGAGATGTACAGACGACCCCCCGAGGAGGCCCCGGCGTGACCCCACGTGCGGCGCTTCAGCGAGCATGCGTACACCCACTCGTTGCGCCGCGGGCAGTAGCGCTCCACCGAGGCCAGGCTGCCCGCCCGGTTGCGGCCGCCGGTGGCGTAGACCATGCCACACAGCACGTTCAGCTGGGACT